AGCTTTTCTTTGTATTTACCCTTTCTTTGGTTTTTTCTTTTCTGAGCATCTCACTTATCTTACGTTGTTAATCTATGCAATTTTGATGTTGTGATTATGTAACTTTGACATCAATGTTCATTACTGTCTCTGGGACAACAACATGTCTCCTCAATATTTTATTGTTCTAGAATTTTTTTTTTTGAAAAAAGTTAGTCACACACACAGTGACAAACGTTGATTCACTCACTGTATCATATTTCCATGCTTGTTGTCCTTAGTTTTTTAGCAGTCTTTTAATGTTAATCGATGATAAATTGCAGTTTGTATATATATTTGTTTTGTTAATGCAACTAACGTGAATCATTCATTCCCTTGGTGGAGAATCCAACCCCGCTATCTTATTCTGTTTCATTGATTGTTTTTAATTGGTTGAATTTTAACACAGTTAAAATTGCGAACTCATTACAACAGCTAGACTACAATCGGAAACCTAGAAGCACTGAACAGCTGTATTGTCCTCCTCAGCAGCAAGACCTTCAGCCTCTCGGGCAAACGCCTCATCTATAAAACATCGAGAGTTGAAATGGTAGCTGCACACTACTAAGAGGGGTCTCACACTATGAGGTGAAACGGGACCACTCAGTGCTTTCACGTTTCTAACTAAGGATGATCTAACTGAAAGCAGCTCATGATTTCTCCCAACCGTAGCTGCTACCTTGACGTGATGGTCAGGCTTGACTACCGTGATGACCCAACCGAGCTATATTGGCTGGAACTTATTTTCCTGGAGGTCCTACCATGCCAGGCAGGTCGATTGGAGAACCATGAGACTAAAAGCAGCTACTCAAGGTCTGAGGGTGAAGTCGTACTGCTAACTTCAGAGGGGTGTGACAGCAGTAAGGTGTTTCCTCAGACAACCAGCATCTTCAGCGATGCTGTGTTATCACAAGGAAGAAGGGGTTAGAAACGGTCGACCCAAAAAATGTCACACCTCACCCTACCTCACGGATTTATGTCTCCGGCTGTAAGGGTGCCCACTAAGGGCTTTTAAGTGCGGAGTTTATGCTCAAAAAAACATTCATAAAAAGGCCGTGCATGACCGGCCTCAATCAGTTGTACCTTTGGCTCTGCGGTCACGCTTCCAGGTCTCCAAGACCAACACTAATCTACCTTCCTTTTCAGTTCTCTCAAGAAACAACCTACCACGGTGTGGTCCAGCCGGGAAGTGACAACCGCCCTCATACCCGTAAGAGCACACGAGACCGAATCGGTCGAAATCAAATCCTTCCTACACCCACACATACCCGTAACAGCTCATGATTTCCAATTAGGAAATTAGCACAATCTTCACAAATCTCCTTGATTTGTTTTGTTTTTTTCTTCAAATTTACCAATGGAAAGAATTTTCACCTGAACAATATTTTAACTCTTTTTGATTGAATAATCGCCATAATTGTCTCCACTTTACTTTCTTGCCTTATTTATTTATCACGTTATTCTTGCTCATCAAACTAATTAACCTAAGATGCACAGTGTTTACCACTAACACCACTACTCCTCTTCATCTTCAACTCTTAATTTATTATCTCAATTTAAGATGTGAGAGAGGTAGGGAAAAAAATGCGGCTATATAAGTAAACACACAAACGAATGAAAGATTAATTTAATTAACGATGAATCCAATAAAGAGGAGACAGTTTGGCTTTTTTTGTTTTGTGTATTTTGTTTTTCTAAGTTCGAAATAAATTTTCAATAATTAATCTTTTTGGTGAAAAAAAAGTGAAAAATGAAAACGACGTTTTCTATTCTTCAAAAAAAGAAAAAAAGTTTACTGGTCTCCCTCTTTTTTTTAATGAATGAAAAGGTTTCTCACTTTTTCTTTTCTTTAAAAAAAAATGTGTAGCATATTCAACGATTATACGGAATTGTTTTTTCAGTTCAATTTTCAATATTTGTACGGGATTAGGCGGTTTTATTCCGGTTTATTGATTGATTGAATGATTTAGTATAGATGAAGAGTGTGTAATTTTATTTCACATGCGCGAATTTCCACTTTAGATTTAGTTGTAGAAATACATTACACTGAATTGTTGTTCATAGAATAGAAGAAGATAAAAGTTGAAATTATTTAAATGAAAGAATATTAATATTTATCTGGTTAGTGAAATTCATTCTCTTACTGTCGACATTGCTTGAAAATGCTAGATATTATATATTATTGAATATTATTATAAAAAAATTATTTATTTATGTCACTGGTTTTGAGCATTGACTCTATGAGATCAGTACTGAAAGTACTGAATTAAAAGTGACTATTCAAAGTGTTCAGTGCTCAATACCTTGGTATTAATTGTTTCGTTTGAATTGATTAAAAAACACATATTTTGTGATTTAATATCAACATGAACAATGCCTGACTGTATACACAAAACTATCTGGTTGGGGTTACTTTTTAGTTATCATAATCTGTGTGGTTGAAGATGTTGAATGACAGTTGTTGAAAAAATGTATTACAATAAGTTAGGATAGTCATCCAATTTCCTAAGAGAATTATTGGTCAATTCCTGTTGGTTACTTCCTACTGGTCAATTTTATGGTCGTCCTAGATATCAATGTCACATACTCTAATGTTGTTTCTTATTAGTTGTCCTGACTGTCAATGTCACTTCAGATGTTGCTTCCTATTAGTCGGCTTAATTGTCAATGTCACAGACTTTGGTGCTGTTTCCTATTCGACCAAATTGTATAAATACGCATTATTTGTAACGTTTTATGACCAAGACCAGGACCAGGTTTCGGTCCCGGATCCCTAGTCCGGGGTCCTGATTCTCTTCTGGATTGGGACCTCGTACTTTCTGGATGCTTGTAGAATACGGGTTCTACTTCACATTCAAGTCTTCTTATTTTTACTAAATATGGGGATTAGGATAATCGGATTTGAGTAGTATGTCGTGTCGTCGGATCCTCGATCCTAGCGCTCTCGTTTTCCGACTAGGTAGACTAGTAATAGTTCAAGTATATCAAGTTGGCGTGTTTATGTGCAGGTGTAACACTGTAGTATAAATCAGTTCATTATAATCTAATACCTATAGTATCCTCTTATGATAACTTGATCTAACTGTTCTGGTATAGTAAGTATCATAACAATGTGCACTGATGTTTATTTTCATCAGTTTCTACTTTGTTTCTACTTTGACTAAACAACTGGTTGAATGAAATTATTTCTCGTAACATTAAAGGTACGCATATCTCGTAAATGCCTGGGGACTTCAAATTTTAGTTGCAACTTTCCCGTTGACCACCGTTAGGCATTATGTTATTTTCCAACATTGTGCATATGATATTGAATCATTCTAACCTAGTGGTGACGTTTGAATTTGATCGATAAAATGAGTAGGGAACCATGAGAGCTCAGCCGTGGACCGAGTATCTCAGTAGTGATGTCTTTCACTGTGAAGTTGCTTGGATCCAATCCGTGTTTTGGAAGAGTCATTCCCCTCAAGATTTCAGGTACACATTATCGACAAATTACTCACTAGTACAAGGCCTCGGCCCACCATTTCCTATTGTTACTTGATAAGTTACTTTATTTAAATTTGTGATTTTTGACCTTGAAAGAATGGTAAAAATATATACCATCATCACAGTGCATCATCAACTGGTTGTTTCTTCTCTTCAATTCAATTAGTTTTTTACTGATACTGAATTTTATTATATTTCAAATTTTCCTTTGTTTTATTTAATAATTGTCAGAGTGATCAATGTTCAATCTAAATTTAAGATCATATTTATTCTTTCAATAAATTTTGATGCTTGATATTAAATGTAGCCCTTAATAGACAGCTTAAAATTAATCATTTTTTTAATAGTCATGTTGAACTTTGAACAAAACCTTAAACATTATTTTAATTAATGAAATGGGTAGCGACGTTCAATTCAGCTAAACAGTAGATACACATTCAATTCTTTCTAACATTAAACCAAGCATCAAGAAATGCGGTGGATTTGTCTTTTTCGTTTAGGTTAACAATATACACGCTGTTATATGCCGTCAGGTGCATAATTGTTTTTTTCACCAAAAGCGTCGTACCTCGCTCACGATGCCTCATCTATAACTTAACCTCGTAGACGAGCACAAGTACTTTATATCTCTAAACTCCCTTTTCATCTCAGTAATAATAATGATAGGGAATATTTGTAGCTGAAGATATAAATTTCGAGGGTCTCATTATATATTACACGCATTTTACAAAGCGAAGCTTTTCCATAGCATTTAAAGGCGAACTAACTAGTGCTTACTTAGACATTTCTCCATCCAAAGAATTATGATTCCCAGTTATTCTATTCCTTTATGAACATAATCTGAACTTACAGTGAAAATATTTATATTAAAACCTAAGATATGGAAAATGTTATAATTTGGTAGCTACATTTTGTAATCAAATTAGATCTATAATTTAGTCTACCGTTTTCTCTATTTCAATAAAAAAAAAATAGTGTATAGATGTAACGATTATAATTTAATAATGACTGTGAAATATTTATCGAACGAACTGAAAAATCAGTTTTGTTTTTTTTGGTATGAGACATAAAAAAATAGCCATATTCACGTTCAGTGGTAACGTTACTCATTGTGAAACTGGAGGGCAATATAAATATATATAGATTTGAAATCATTAATCAATCATTGTTAGATCACCATTAGAAACCTGGAAGCACTGCACGACGGCCGTTTCGTCCTGGTATGAGACTCATCAGCAGTGCGCATCCACGACTCCTTCACCTCGCAGGATTCGAACCCGGGTTCTTTGGTATTGAGCGCCAACGCCTAAGTATCGAACCACTGGTGGTCTAACAATAGTTGATTGATGATTTCAAATGTGTAAAAACACAAATCTCCGAAACTCTAACTTAAAATATATATATATATATATATATATATATATATATATATATATATATAACCATATAAACTTGAGATCCGCATTAACTTATTCAATAATCAAATTTGTATTTAGCATCAAGCAATGCAAAGACATAATGCTGCTTGGCAAGAATCATTACGTTATCGTTTACCTGAACTTGATCGTCTTGGTGGATTAAAACGTATCACATTGAATGATAATCCAAATATCGGTGATGAAGGATCAATTAAATTGGCTGACACATTAATTGATGATTTATGGGTAAAAGCTATTGATTTACAAGCATGTAATTTAAGTGATAATTCAGCAAGTATATGGTTATCTGTATTGGTTGGATTACGTATAACTGATGGAAATCCAACACAGACCAATCATGATGAAGGAAAACAATTGAAATCAAAAGATAATCCATCTGTCATAGATGATCAACATCGTGGAAATTATACCTTAGTTGTTCTTGATCTACGCAGAAATCCTGATATATGTAAGTATATTTTTTTCAGTGTGAAATCGTCTATGTTTTTGTAAATTGTGTCCATACTCATGCCCATGAAAATTTCAAAGAAACCAACAAACTACTCATGAGTAGTTTAAGCTTGAATTGTGAGTTGATTTTACTCCGAACAAATGTCTGTCCGGACTCATTATCTAGATGCAGAATAGTGAGATGAATGTGTCTAAAGCGAAATTTATGGAGTTCAAGTATCAAATGTGAATATAAAGTTCCTCATCACCCTTTATCTTTTTCTTTTTCAGTCAATTGCACTAGATGCTACTTTTTGAATAATATCTTCGAACCTTAATCTCTCTAAATACTGCTAATACTTTTTTCCTACCTCTACTACTATGAGATTTGAATTGACAATTGCATCTCTATGATAACGTGGTACGGCAACTTGAAATGATGTACTGACATACGAAGTTCTACGTTGCTTTTGACCAATGATTGATGAAAAGTTTGAATGTTGTTGCCGATACAAATTATATATAAATGATATGAAAGACATTTTAGATTCTATGGCTAGCGGCTACAATTATACGCTTTCCTCATATAATACTTGCGACATGATAATGACACCATTATTTGAGTTATCCTTTCTCAAGATTCACACAATTAACCAAGTTGAAATCAGAAAAAAAAATCATGTCCTAGTTGTAGAAAATTTCACTTAAGAATGATTTGTTTTTCATGTGCTATTGTTTTTGTTGTTGTAGTAGTGTAGTGAATGAGAACACAGGTGGAGGCAACCGAATTTTATTTAACGAAAATTACAGAGTTACTCAGTAAAATCGGAAAACCATATCGTAAATCGTTAATTTGCAAAATATCAGTCCATCATATCGAACTGGACTGTTCCTGTTGCAAAACATCAATCCATTGTCACTATTCATGCGTTTCACACCAATTCCATTGTGTTCTAACTCTTCCTTTCTTGATCTTCCCCCCATATTATGCTACCAGACTTTACGTTGACACTCACGCCATATACTACTTATAAGTAGTTCGCACCACAGCACCACAGTAGTAGTTACTGTTGTTTTTCTGCCTCTTTACTCCTCTCTCTCGCTTTTCACTGTCCTAATGTTTATCTAATCTCATATAACTTTTCCTTCTTCTTCTCCGCCTCCTCCTTCTCCACTTAATTTCAACAAATTATCTCACTTTTTGACTGTAATCAACTTGAAAAGAGAAAGAAACACAATTAAGCATTCTACTTGTTTATTTATTCATTGCCAACATTGATTTCTTTCACTCCTTTTTTTTGATAATTACATTCACTTGAATGACAGACATACTTACATTATTTTAAGTATACTTCATATTCATATTACTTCACAATGTGTGTATTTATTATTCAAGTTTTGTTTCAAGTTTTTTGTTTTAAGAACAAAACATGAAAGACAGTAAGTACTTCAAGTAGAATTAAATAAAGAAAGCGCATAAAATAACCGTAAATATAATTTACAGATTCTGTTTTGTATTCTTGTTTGTGTTTTCTCATTTCTCTTTTTAAATGTTTGCCAACCAACCAACCAACCAACCAACCAAACAATTCTACTTTATTTATATAGGCTTATATATATATGTGTATATGATAAATGTAGCGTCATACAATTCAATGTTCAATTCACTTCAAAATCCAAAATAATACTTTCATCAAGTTGATTTTTCTAAATCAATGATTCAGATAATGAGAAGATATTCATATTATTTTATTTCAATGGATAAAAAAAATGCCTCTATCAAATTTGAATAATAAGAGGCGTTGACTCAAATGAAATAACCGTGCATGATTACTACTAGATTGATAGTGTTCAGTTTGTACACATCTATAACCATAGGATAGGTAGGGATCTCTAGTCTAGGATTTTTTTTTGCAGATCAATATATTGACAAACAAAACGAATAAATCAGATATCAAAATAACATGAAATTCATCAATCCATTTGATTAGGTAACATTCTTCGAGCATTTATAACTGATGTCAATTCATGATGTTAACTGTAACTTGAATTAATTAACTGTAATTTCTCAGAACCATATTTTAACCATGGTGTTTAGTTGAAGCGTCATACAGCTACTGTAGTATCATTTAAAGATCATTGATAAATCATAGTCTTGTCAAAAGGAAAACATCAGAAACAAAAATCTCATTGAAATCATGAACTGATTAATGCTAGACCACCACCATTAGAAACATGATAGCACTGAATGACCGTTTCGTCCTAGTGAAGGATTCATGGACAGTGCGTATTCACGACCCCCTTGCTACGGGAATCGGTCCCATGACCTTCAGTTTCATGCTCAAACGTTTAACCACTGAGCTGGCATTCAACAGTGTTAATGTCGTTGATTCGCACTGCTGATGAGTCTCATACTAGGATGGGACGGCCGTTTAGTGATTTCAGATTTCTAACGGTGGTCTAACAACATTGATCGATTCATGACTTCAATGAAACTCAACAATCTCCACATCCTTTTTAATTGCCTTATCAAACTTCATGATGAATATTCAAGCTGTCAAGATCAACCTTATTCTTGATTCCCTTGATCAAAATGACGTTCCATGCCTTTACCTATCTAATTTTCTTCACTATTACCATATTTAACAAAACTTTTTACCAATACTATTATTGTATTTATCACCATATAGACCAAAAAAGTATATATTTACGATTATACCCAAAGAAAACTCTTCATTGAACCGATCTTTCTTCTCTACATACTTGTCATTCATTCTGTTTTACAGTTCATTTGAATTTTGATCAATGTCTAGATGAAGTTAAGTTGCAACCAACAAACTAGATCATTCTTCACTATCGAAATCTATGTACTGATTCCCGGCCTATAGTGGTTATGGATGCATACAAACTGAACAATATCTATCTAGTAAATAATAGTCACGACGATTATTTTGTTGAATTGAGTCAATATTCATGTTGCTCAGAAATTGATTTCTTACGTAATCTGTAACCAATGCTCAAGCATATACATACTCATACAAGCACAATAATAATAAAGGTACAAGGATATAGACATGTTGTTACCTTTCCTATGACTTACTTACTTACTTACGCCAGTTACCTCCCAATGGAACGTAGGCCACCGACCAGCATTCTTCATCCAACCCTGTCCTGAACCTTCCTTTCTAGTTCTGCCCAACTGTTGTTCATTCTTCTCATATCTATCTCCATTTCTCAGCGTAATGTGTTTTTCGGTCATCCTCTTTTCCTCTGACCTTGAAGACTCCAGGTAAGGCCTTGTCTTGTGACACAGTTGTATGCTTTCCTCTATATGTGTTCTATCCACATCCAGTGCGACTTCCTATTTTCTTTCTCAGATGGAAGCTGGTTTATTTTATCGCACAGTAAGTTGTTGCTGATAGTGTCTGTCCAGCGAATCCGAGGTAATTTGTATAGACAACCTTTTCTGAACACTTGTGATGATGGCTTTCGTAGTCCTCCACGTTTTCGCCTCATACATTGGAAATGTCTTGACATTTGTACTGAAAATTCTGACATTTGTATTGGTTGGTAATTGTTTTAAGTCCCAGATGTTCTTCGATTGTAAAAATGAGGCGCTTTCTTCTTATGACCATGTTTTTTGATCAAACAAGGCTGAACCTAATTAGCTTGAACAAATTCAAATATATGTGAAAGTTGCGATACTTTTCTCATTACAATTGTTGCTTTTATTAAACATGATGTACTACTCTATTCTTCTTTTAATAATATTTATGCCATTTCCCTTTGATAAATTTTACAACAAACCAATAGAAAACTTTCTCATATGATTACTGTATTGAATTACTCGCGACTCCAGTACTTCCCGGTTTCTAATAGTGATCTAACATTGATCGATTCACGACTATAATGAAACGCATCAATCTCCACAACCCTATAATGGCTATTTTTAAATTGTTAAACAAATAATTGTTGAATAATAAATTATGATCAAACTTTTTTCAATCAATAAATTCTCTTTTTACCTTTGAGTACTTAATTCAAACAGGTGTTTATAGATTGCCGATGAGAAACGGTGATTAATTGTAGTTCAGTTATTAGGGACGGTGTAGCATAAGGCAATTAAAAACCAATAACACTGAAAGCTAGTTTTGCAAATTATTATAAATTAAACTGATCAAAAGTTAAATATATTCAGTTTGATCTTCCGGTGAGGTTGGTTGTACTGCTAAAAAGTCTCATACTAAAACTTAGAAAACTACTGATCCATAATTTATTTATTTCCTGGTTTTTCGATGATGATCCATCTAAGATCCGTTGTACATGATGTAACCATGAGTTAAACACTTCTCTTGTGAACATTCTGATCAATAAATTGTGCTTTTTATCACTTCGACATTAAAAAAAAATGCATTCGCACAGATTTAATACCTTTATTTATATTATCTCACTAGTTTAAACTCTTTTTTTTGTCTTTTCTTATTTTAAAATTTATATTTCATACATTTTAGCTCATGAACTATTACGTGCTGTCACAGAAAGAGCACTCATCAATTCCGAAGGGAAACAAACTGAAGTAAGTGAAACTTATGTAGGCTTAATTATATGTGTGCGTTTTGTTTACAACTTTTTCACTTCCAACGTAGTTGAATCGTTCAAATGAGCAGGAACATGTGTTACGTATGCCTAACCACCGACTGCCTCGACGAGCTATGTTTTGTGGTGTAGGAGTAGGTTGGAAGAAAGCTAGGGGCGGCCAGACCAAAACATGGCACAAATCCATGAAGTCACTGACAAGTGGACTGAGTCATGTTGGTAGACTTAGGCTATCTGGTTGGGGTCCGCGAAACGAAAGTCACCAATGGTTAGAGACCTTGGATGATATGGCTGAACATCGTTTGCATTGGCGCAGGTGCATCCACTCTTTCTGTTCTCTTTAATTCTGACCTTCTGCATTCTTCATAATCTCTACCTTTTTCCTTCTAAATTTATCTGACTGAATTATACTTCTCGAATCATATCTTCGCTCCCTAATCTTCTCCATTGCTGCTAATACTTATACTATCACTACCACTCTTGGTTTTGAACTGACATTTGCGCCTCTGTGCTGATGTGGTATGGCAACCTGAACTGATGTACTTATGTACGAAGTTCTGCGTTGTATCTGTCTGTCTGTCTGTCTGTCTGTCTGTTTGCAGGAAATAAGTTGACCAAAAGAAATTTCCTAAAGAACGAATTTGTGTATCATATTTATTGGTCAAGTAAGAAATCGATTCATTTTCTAAGCAGAAGAAAGCATAGCTCAAGTAGTCAGTATGATTGATTAGCGCGTATCACTTTCAAATCTAAGACACTGACATTCATATCATCACACATATAACATAAACTCTATCAATCACAAATTCTACTTCTAACAAATCATGATTTCTATCTAATTTGTGTTGGTTTCATTTTTCAAACAGTTTAGTTGGTTAACAGCTGGCTTACAAACTCCATCACAATTATGTTCTGGTGTGACTACATATCCATGGCCAGGTCTAACGAATCATGAATCAAACGAGAAAATGCCTTCTACTATGATGAGTCGAGTAAATTCATTTGATAATCTTGTACAAATGTCAAGAACTAATCGAACAAAATCAATCACCACTAATTTGTATAAACATCGAAGAATTATTGATCCTGATGATAAAAAACTATGTTGTTCATGTCATCGGCCATTAATGAATGTAAGTAGTATAGTTTATTGATCACTATTAATAATTTATTATGATTAATAATTATTTATTTCATTGTTATGATGAATAGATTTTTGTGAAAAAAATGTTGAGTTTCTTCATTGAAATTATGAAACGATTCATGTTAGACTACTATTAAAATTTTGGAAGTACTGGATGTTTGTTTTGTTCTAATACAATACTCATCAGTAGCAGTGCGCACCCCACGACCACCGCTCTCTGGAATTGGACCATTGGGCCTTCGATCTCGCAGGCGAACGCCTAAACTCCGGACCAATGAACCGGCACTAAACACTCTTAATGTCTTACTTCAATCAATCTAAGTTATTGTGCAATCTCACCCAATGTTTTTGGTAGGTAACTGTTATGTCGATAAACGCGAACGAGAAAATTCCCAGCGTCGAGGTAGGCTACCTTGAATCCAAACTGCTAAGCAGAAGACTCGATAAGCGTAGAAAGTATATTCTACAACACCCAGCAATCACAGTACAATCAAGCATACAACTCTCGTTTATTTATACATCATAGAAACGTCCTTGGGACAGTCACGAAAATAGCACACTGAAATACATAGCAGCCAACCACAGACATGGATTTTGCTGGTGGGAAATGAAATCTCAAGGTCAACTGATCAGCTCATGCTCGCAAACGTGTAATCCAAAATAAGGCATCTATCAAGCGAGTTCTGGGGATTTAACATCCCTAACAGTAACTGCCGACACCCGACACAGTTGCTTTCTACCACTGGTCATGGCTACCCAATGGAACTTAACAATCTCCACAAATCTACAGTGAAAATATTCTTGTTAAAGTTGAGATGAATTCAAATTTTAGGTTGTATTTTCTAAATATTATTCTCACTTGATAGACCAATAAAAAGTTGATTGGACTGTATGTGATAGTCACACTGTATCATGAATTAATCAAATTTAGAAATAAACCATTAGATACTGGTCCTATGGTAAAGTGGTTCAGTTCTTCATGTGGGTCATATGTGTGGACTGGTGTGTAGTCTTAAACTTGGGTGAAAGTAATGTTTGTTCAAAGCTACGACTCACTATTTATAATTGTCCATACAGAAAAATAAACTGAAGACATGTGATCAATAGAATATTTATTGTAGATTTATGGATGTTGCTGTTTTCCGTTGCAATCGTAAATCAATCATTGTTAGACCACCATTACAGACCTGGAAGCAACAGATGACTGTTTCGTCCTTGCAAAGTATTCATCAGCAGTGTGCATCCACAACATCCGCACACAGAAATCAAAGCTAGGACTTTCTGTCTTGAACATGAACGTTTTAACTCCAGACCACTGAACCATCAATCAGTGATGTTGAAATCTAACTTCAAGTAATCCGCCGATATTTCTCAACCTCATCCATTATCTTCGGTAGATACCTCTCTCCTACCCATCACAGCTGAAATTCATTGGTGAAAACTTCTCACTAGAACTCCGAGAATTTTCTCACGAAGCTAGTCACTAGTGAGCGACAGCAGTCTGCATAACTCTATGATGAATATCGTACAAGTTATTCACTAGTGCCTAGCTTCGTATGGAAATTCTTTGAGTTCTAGTGAGAAGTCATATCCAATGAAATTCGACCCTGTTGGGTGTCGGCAGTACCACAGAAGACGATGAGTTTGGTTGCGCAAAATCTTAGATGGATCAAAGTTAGACATTAACACTGCTGAATAATGGTTCAGTGGTCTAAAAGTTAAGCTTTCGTGCGCGAGACTGAAGTTCCTGAGGTTCTACAGGATGAGCTCGCTAACTCTGTGATCTTTTATCCGAGCTTGAAATCGTCAGTATTCACACTGGCAGATATGAGAATAAAAAACGGGAAAGCTAAGCTAAATGATGTAGAGAAAGCGAGTGAGCCAACTCAATAAGATGAGGCATTACTATGTATTTATAATCAGACAAAAATAAGCTAGATATGTGAAAACCGAAGTAAATAAACAATGTTCACGCGCATTCAAGGTCATGAGCGAATAACTGACAAGGTTAAAAGACATGTGAACAGCTGAATAAAAATAGATAAATTAATTTGTTGAAAGACTGGGACAAGCCACATGGACTCGACAAATTTGTACACATTGCATATGACCTGACTAATGTTAGACTACAATTAGAAACCTGTAATCACTGGACGGCTATTTCATCCTAGTATGAGACTTATCATCAGTGCTCATTCATGAGCTCTTCATACGGGGGTCGAACCTAGGACCTTTGGCCCCACGCGCGCGACGTTTGACCACTGATCGGTTCATCGGTTCAATGGATCTCAACAACCTGTATGATGAACCTTAATTTACACATTGGAAAACTGTAGTCACTAACAATCCTTGGGATCACATACAACAGAATTATTCAGAATTTTCAATGAGAAAATCTTTTGAACAGATTTACCAGGGTTTTTCTTGTCTTTTTCTCGTGGAATACTTCTTCAGTTAATCTCACTCCATGAATACAATCATCTATCTCTCAATCACAGGCTCGCTCGCTCATCAGCGTAAAATTAATCGCTCGACAAAAACCTATCACAACTAAAATAATAAAAATTGAAACAGTGAACATGGATATTTTGCTATCGTTCATTTTAACATACTCGATTTCATCTTCAAAACAGTCTTATTATGGAAGCATAGAAATAGCTCGACATTTTTTCAGACTAACAAAGTTTTTTCTTATTAGCTTCTTATATTCTCTAAGGAATAAACTGAACAGAAGAAAACTGATACAAAATTAAACGACTTGAATTCATTTCGTTACTGTTACCTTGTCAAAATTGAATTTTCATTTTTTTTATTAAAGTAACTGACTTTCTGTTTTTTTCTTTATTGAACGCTTTCTTCTCTCTCATTCTCTCTATTCTCCTCTTCTTTGATACAATCTTTGTTTATTTTGTGTAGTGATAACAATAATAATGATAATAATAATAATAATCTGTTATTGACAAAGATTCAATACACTTTTTTCCTATTGATGAATTCGAATTGATGCGGAAAGAGTAAGAAGCAAGGCGAGCCTTTCGCAATGTGTGAGTGTGTGTGCGCGCGTGAGCGCATCTAAACAGGTTGGCATAATCAACATAACGAATGAGAGAATACCAGTAGTGCATCCAAACACTGACACACACACACACAAACACACAAACACATACCTGTCTCGTTCATATATATATATATTCATACATAGTGGTGCTTTCCTGATACTTTCCACGTGTACGAGGTAACCAACAGCCAGGAATACAGGATAAAAAACACAATGACACTGTGAACAACATTTTAACCAAATATCTTACACTAACTCAATTTTAAATCACTATATAGTTCATCATACCCGCATGCATATTCAACAACGAAGTACTCTTTGTAATAACTCATTATCTATCATCATCAACGAAGTCAAGTAGAGATAAACAATGTTTCGTTTAAAAGTGTTTTAAAAGGGAGAAGACTAGTGAATTTGATAGATAATAGGCTAATTATACGATCAGAGCAAAAAAAGCAATAATTAGATCAAGTCAGAGAAGAGTAGAATAGATCGAATCAAATTATTTACATAATCAATCTATTTATAATTATTTTTCGTGGGGGGGGGTGGTAAGTTTAGGCAAAAGGCGATTTCATTGCGCATTTCTCTGTTCTTTTTGAATTCAAAAATCTGTTCTCATTATTTTCATAATAAATCATTATCTATGAGTGAAAGTGAAAAATTATTCACTTTTGCTGTTTAGAAAAAATATTCAAAATACAATTTATTATGAATGTATGCGGGTGTTGTTTAGTTGATGGGAAATTTAAACTCTCCCTAACATTATGTACCTGATGATTCTGTGAAGGGCATAAACCCAAAAAATGTTAGGTTAGTTAACTTACTCACAATCCTGTAAATACATAAACCCAAAGTCAAAAATTCCTTAGACCTATGCTGACCCGTCATCGCTCGAAGTCAAAAGTTGGCCCCTAGATCTAACAGAGTTGGACGAAAATAATTCCCGTTCAGAGAACTGGTGCTTAGTGTTGAGGATTTTAAAAAAATAGAATGATATCATAATTGTTCAGTGCTTTCTTGTTTTCAACAGCACTCAAAAAACACATCAAATTCTAAGGAGTTACATCTACAAGTTATCTCAAGGTATAATAAATGCTTTAGCATTCAAAACGATGAATCGACGTTTTTTTTCCAACATTCAAAGATGTTAATGAAAACAATTCTTGCCCCAAAATATCGTAACAGTGCTCACTAGTGACTAGCTTCGTGAGGAAATTCTCGGACAGTGGTCCGATGGTAAGGCGCTCGCCTACAATGCCAAAGGTCCCGGGTTCGAACCCTGCGAGGAGCAGGAGTCGTGGATGCGCACTGCTGATGAGTCCCATACCAGGACGAAAAGGCCGTCGTGCAGTGCTTCCAGGTTTCTAATGGTGGTCTAACAATGATTGATGGATGATTTTAAATGTGTGAAAATTCTTGCATTATTTCTATGTTGAAAATGATAAAGTATGATGAATAGTAAATCCTACTTTCTATTCAATTTATCTTCTATTTTTCTAGCCAAGTGGTAGTAAACCAAGACGCCGTAGTGAAGGCACTAAATATTTTTTCGATCATACAACAAATCATAACTGTAATGTAGAATTGCATAGAAAAACTAAACGTCCTTCATATGTTTGTGAAACTGGGCGACCTTTAAGCGAACGAGCAGCATGGAAACCACCTGGTGTAGCTAAAACTACTAATCAGAAACTTGCTACCAGTCAACCAATTACTCCATTATCAAATCGAACAAGTTTCACTGGAGGAATACCATGGAGGACTGCGGCAAGATCAGCACGTTGTCGGTAAGGGGTTTATGATGATTGTATTCATTTTGTTTTTTTAAATTTTCTTTTATGTACAACTCATAACTAATTAATCGTAAAACCATTGTCAAACTTTTACAGTAATTTTGCTGCGTTATTATAACCTCTTTCTTTCATTGAAGATTTTGAAGAGGGGTCTGCCTTCATAGATTTTTAACAACAGAAACGAGAGTGAAGAGAAGCTAAAGCTAATGAAGAATATAAGATTGTTTTGTAACATGAAATCAAAATCATTAACTATTAGTCTGCGAAATGATAAAATATCTAATCTCTTAGGTTGTTTATCATAACCTAAAACTGAATTTACAATACAATTTCAACATATATAACAGGAGAGAGGTGCAAAATAAATCAAGACAACGCTTTATTTCAGCGTCGTCACTTTATGTATAGAAAAATGAAGATATTTATCAAGTCATCACTCATGATTTCGAGCTTCACGTGAAGGTTCGAGAACCAAACTAAATGTATTAGTGGTATTGTAACACGTGTAATCAGCAGTCACTGAAGGTCACTGAGAAGATCTAAAACCACAACACACAAGCTTAGCTAAGCACTTCATACTAAGAGAGAACATGAAGTGGTAACCACGGGACTTTTATTTGAAAACTAAATAAAAAAATGGTTGCTGTGGTTGTCAGAAGGGACATCGGCCGCGTAACTTCCGAGAGAACTCGGCTTTTATCATGAGACGTCATAACTCTTCTGAAAGAAGACCTTCTAACTCCCAGGAGCAGAGTTGAATAGGTATGAATAATGTTTTCTGGTTAGCGCCCAACCCACCTCCTTTATCCTGGCTTGGGACCGGCAGTAGCCCCAGAGAGGCTCCAGGCATAATTATTTATCAATTATGATCTTCAGTGAAATGACATAAAATCTAATAGAACAAAATTTATTTCTATTAATGAGTTCTTAACAAGTAAGCAACTTAAATCAAACTGATATTTTTACTAAACACCTCTAACATATCTAACCTTACTTACTTAATTGCTTATTTAAGCTTGTTGCCCTTAATGGAGCATAGGCCGTCGACCAGTATTCTCTAACCGACTTTGTTCTAGCCCTTATTTTCCAATTCCACCAGTTCTCGACATAATGTGTTATTTGATATTCGTTTTTTCCTTTGAGCTTGAGAATTCCAAGTTAGGGCTTGTTATGTGACACAGCTGGGTGATTGCAGCAAGGTGGGTCATATCCATATGACAAAGTGAATTCAACAACTGATTCTTTGTATACTTTTTTTAATAAGAAATAGTGTAGGAATTTTAAACTGTTATTGTTTACTACTACTATTATGATTATATTCATTTTAAAGAATTCATTTCACTTCTGAGATATTGCATGAAAACTTGTCCAAAAGTTATTGCAATAATAAAGCTGTATTCACTTCCTAACTGAATATACCTTGTAATATCGTTATGAATTCTGTTTTTCAAAACAAAACATAAACATTTGAAATCATCAATCAGTCATTGTTAGACCACCATTAGAAACCTAGAAGCACTGCGAGACGACCGTTTCGTCCTGGTGTGAGACTCATCAGCATTGTGTATCCACGACTCCTGCACCTCGCAGGATTCTAACCCGGGACCGTCGGATGCCGGCCCAGTAGTCCGATGGTTGTGCGTTCGCGCACAATACCGAATGTCCCGGGTTCGAATCCTGCGAGAAGCAGGAGTCGTTGACACGCACTGCTGACGAGTTTCACTCCAGGACGAAACGGCCGTCCAGTGCCTCCAGGTTTCTAATGGTAGTCTAACAATGATTGATTGATGATTTAAAAGGTGTAAAACACATCTCCAAAACTCAAACTGAAAACATAAACAGCTCCTATCAATTACTGTTTTCATACCCGGTGTACAAGATCTGAACATGATACGGGCTAACGCTGCTATTTGAGTAATAAGGTAAGAGTGGGAGAAAAGATATGTTTGGCTACCGAATAATATATATATATATTCCACCTAGAAAATACATCCATCCCTTGAGCAATGATATGCATTCGTCATTTCTGGAACATTTCTGCTTATTATCAAAATAATCTTCTCATTTAACTACTTCAGATTAATTCGCTTTATCAATCACTTTCATTTTTTCTCTAAATCACAGAGGTTATCCAAATTTTCACTGCCCTGGTAAAACAAGCCTTGATGTACGTGCACTAAATTTAGATTATGACATTGTCAAAAAATCGATACCAGATAAACAAGCATCAAATGTAAATAATATGAATCAAAACAGTCATAAATCTTTAGTGCATTCATGTACAAAACCGGTGAATGGGACTGTGAATGATGATGATGATGATGAATGTCAACATCATCATCAATCATATCAAGGTCATTCGCAATCACAACCGCCACAACACCAACAACAATGTCTTCAACATAATCACCATCGAACAACTTCTCAAAAATCATGTTCAAAAGCCAGTAATTCTCCGAGATTTTCAGCAATCAATATGCAACACAAGTTAAAACAACTTATGGTAGGATAATATTGTATAAATTTTCAATTTTTTTTTAAAAAAAACAAAGTTTTACATGAATTCCATAATAATTCCTGTAAGTCAAATGATCGATTTTATGGAGTCTTACGTAGAGAAATAGTTTAACATTGGATCTTAAAAGTTGGAAGAAAGCTAATTAAGAGAAACCTATTATGCAGTTATGAAATATCCCTAGAACAAGTCTCTGGAGGTCTAGATATGTCATGAAACTTCTCATCCATTCATTCATCACTGAATAGAATCTTTACAATAAATATTCAGGAAATGTAGAATCTAACTGTATATTTAGTCACACACACAAGCAGATGAGTGATGAATCGATTAATACCCTCATTTTTTTGTACATTAACTGACCTTGGAGCAGAGAGTTCTTCTTTTACTTCTCACCTTTTGTGTTGTGTGTGAAGTTGAAGTGAAAATTCGGCTTTGAGGCTATTTATAAACAACTAGGAAATCAGAAATAAGCATTCATGTTGGCAAACTTATCATAACCAATCATCAATATGATATCAACGCATGAAGTTATTAACTATTGGTTTATTTAATCCATATTTGCAGATACAGAATGTTTGATGAAACTTTATAGAATATAACCACGATAAATTTTAAGTGACATAATTCAAAATCATTTAGAATAGCATAGATGCTCAAAATAACGTATAGTTTTCAGTGGATAACTGTTTCACACCTAACACAGTTGAATTCCACTGGTCACTGCTCATCACTAGAACTAGAATGACTTTGGATTTGACCTACTTAGGGCTTATTATCATATTCCCATGGTGCCGGAGGATATACTGAAATCGGTCGTAATCACTTCATTCAGGTTATTTGAATTTTTGCGAATGCCCTGCCGACGAACAAATGCAACTCAAACCTTCCAGCGATTCATCGACCAAGTCGTTAGAGTTTTATCAGGGGTAGATGTATATATTGATAACATACTAGTAGCTGGCTCTACAGTGGAAGAACATCAACGACTAAGACAGTTGTTTGTGAAACTAAAATAACATGGCGCTTCCACTGTGCAATTTGTAAAGGAATCACTACAGTTCCTAGGTGACATGATAAATTCTCAAGGTATCACCCCAGTTTGTACAGAAGTTGCAGCTATTCATGATTATCTGTCGCCCAAATAAACGAGTAAATTATGACAGTTCAATCCAAACTTTGTGGTAGTATTGCAACTATTGACAAACTCTTTGCGAGGCCATGCCCAGATATTCCGACTAATAGAAAAGGCCATACCGGCATTTTAAAACGCTAAGCCCGTGCTAAATGAAAAGATAATGTTAGTACGGTAAAAGAGCGAAGCACCACTAGCCACCATAACTGACGCATCTAACGTAGCAGTGGGATATTCGGTATTCGAAGTTTGTGAAGATATCGAATGTTCACCGGCACAAATTATCTCACCGAAACTAGTCACTAGTGAGCAAGTTTTTTGATTTTCATTGGAATGTTATGTTTTAGTGAGACTATATGCATATGACACTGTGGATGACCTTTGAGTGACAATGAAGTGACCTTGAGAATGTCCACCTAATTAAGTTAGAAAAATTATGGTGGTACAAGGAATTAGGCATAGAAATTCCAGCTAAAAGTAAGCGTTAGGAATTTGAGTTCGGTGGGTACTTTTTTCATCGCCAACTGTCATCAACTATCGCGGCAAAATGTTATCCCATTCATTATAAGGATGAATAAATTTCTCGCCAAAAAATCGAAGATTTTCTATCTCAATCAAAAATGGTTCGTTCATAAATCATAGTCATATCGTTTGTTTCGTTTTTTTTCAAAATTGTATTTTTACATTTTTACTAGAAAAAAGTGACACAACTTGAGGAGGATTTACAAATAGAAAAACAGAAATCGGATCAATTAATAAAATCACGTCAGGTATGTGCATTCTGGTTAATATATTATTTCGGTAAGCTGTTTTGTGACCTTCCCAAGGACGTTTCAATGATGTATAAATAAACTCGATTTGTGTGTTTGTCGACCTCATATTTTCTGGATGCTTGTAGAATACACTTTCTACGTCTTGTCAAGACTTCTTCCTCTACTTAATGGGGCCTTGGGACGCTCGGATTAGAGTCGCCTATCGTGTCACCTGATCATTTGTCTTCGCTCTTGTTTACCGACTAAGGTGAGGTCGTAATAGTTTCAAGCATATCAAATGACGAGCGTAACAGAATCACAACATCCTAAGTGGATAGGTGATACTATCCAGTTACTCAAACTGAAAAACGTAGCGTGTGCTCGAACTTGAAACGTAGTGGCTGAAACTTGAAGGTCTCTCAACCACTAAGCAACCATTCCATACGCTTTTTATATTCGTTAGTTACCAGAAAAAGTAGTTTGTAACAGAAATGTGATGTTGTTACCAATATGTTATAATGTTTAGAACATTATGATATCATCATCTGTTCAATGAGAAGTTGGAACCTACCCCTCTATACTGTTGTTATGATATCGATCATTCTTACTTTGAGTCTACTAACTTTTATTACCTGTACGTCAAGTTCATATCTAGTATCATATCTTTGAATATCAATCCTCTTCTTGTCTTCCATTGTATTGATGATTATTGCTGAAGTGTTTAATGTTAATTGACTAACCTATTAGGTTGATATTAGAATTCGTCAGTATTAGAAGGATCTCAATCGTTTATAATTAGACATTAACATCGGTCAGTGGTAAGAATTAGTGATAATTTCTAAGGAATGTTTGAAATAGATCATTGTAATGGTCATAAAACCTACATCTTTCTAAAGTTTTATATAAGTTGTCTACGGTGAATAATTAGATTGGCTGAGATATCCAAATACTCTGGTGCGGGTGAGAGTGAAGAGAGTCCGCTCTTCCTCTTCAGACGCTGTCATATAACCACAAGTATATAACCACTGTCAGGGAAATGTTACTCACTGACTTCTCGAAGCACAACTATTGTTCGTGAAATAGAGATGACGAAAAGCAAGTGTCCAGCTAAGTCCTAAACCAGGTTGATCGGTATGGAGGATTCATCTAGGGGAGTTGGAAAACCCTTATTTCAAACCAATAGGCTCTAGGATCCTGATGGAATTAATGAACATTTAATTGGTCACCGGTTACCATGGGACTGCATCTCCTCCTTACATCATTGCTCCACAGTCCTATGGATTAGATTTTTGGATCAAAAGCTCGGTGTGTGGTTCTCTAAGAAAACAACCTTCTTCTCTGGTTTAAGCATGCAGTCAGTATCTCAGCCAACTTCTAAATTTGATAATTTTTGTGACGCATAAATATTGAGATGTTTCATTCGTGTTTAAATAAAAAGGAAATAGAACAGTTACTTGAATATTAATGCCTCAATTTGAAATTGACTAGAGATTGAAGCACTGTCGATTGTATACTTTAGCTCACTTCTATATTTAGTTGCAAATTGTGTATTTGTTACATAGTATGACCTAGTCTTACTTACTTGCCTTTCTAGATGTTCCCGAACTGCTATGCATTCTTTTGATGTCTAGCTCTGATTCCCGACACAATGTACTCTTTTATCCGTTTCCTTTCATTTAACTTTGACAATTTTCCAAGTGGTGGTATTGTGGTATGTTTTGCCTATCATAAAAGCTTATTAACAAGCATACAGTGAGTATGCGACAGAGTGTTGCCCTGAATTTACAGAGGAAAAGAATTGTCTTGAATCCGAACTCATGACATGATCAGTGTGTTCTAAAGAATAGAAGATACGTGGAAGAAGACACCTAGGAGTACGCTTCTTTTAAAAATGAATGATTCATGATAAGGTGTACACTTTTTCACACTAATAGATTGTATCTTCAAACATCTGAACCTCCATCTTCTTTAATTACAGTATAATCTCATAAAAAAGTGTTTTAACTTTAAAACCAGTGAATTTTTATTTTCTAATTCTGTTGGTGGATAACTAGGTGCTTCACACAGTTGATTGAACTCTAATGGTCACAGCTTCATATAAGAACTCGTTGAATAAAATAAACATTTTTAAATAAGTCATTATTAGTAGACACTGGAATAATAATAATTATTATTATCTGTTTCAAATGAATGCGTTTTCTAATGATTTATTTATTTTATAGTTTGTTCAACATGAAGACAAATCCAAACAACGATTGGAAATTGATCAAAATTCAGTAGATCAATTGAGAACTTTCATTTGTCGTTTAACAGATGCGATTGAAAATCTTCAAAAGTCCAAGTATGTTATACACATGTATATAAAAAGGTACTTGATGTGATTCAGTGCATAAGTGAAGAGAATTTTACTCGGCTAAATAAACATCTTCTTCACTTTTCTAATTCGTTACTCTAACTCTTAACAACACAAGTTTCGTAAATTTGTAAAGAGATGAGTGACAAAACATCACGTGACGGTTCTGTTGGGGATGTTAGATCCCCAGAACTCGCTTGATAAATATCTTTATTTTGCATTTATTTCATGGACCGATCAGTTGACTTTATGATCATATTTCCCACCAGGAAAATCCTTGGCCGTGATTGGTTAATGTGTCATCTTAGTGTGCTGTTTTTGTGACTGTCCCAAGGATGTCTCTCTATAGAGTAAAAATAAATGAAATTTGAGTGCTTGGATTCATTGTGTGCTGGTTGGGTGCTTGTAGAATACAATTTCTACACTATATCAAGACTCCTTACTGATTTAATTTGGTCAAGGGAACCTGGACTCTGGTTCATTGTTTTGTTCTCGTTATTCGACTAAGGTGAACTCGTAATAGTTTAAGCATACATACCTAAACACGAGCATAACAGGTTCTGAGGCTACCTACTATTGTTATGATGAAAACTTTAAAGGAATGATAATAAGCCAAATGATCTAAGACATGAATCTAATTCTTAATAATGTGGACTTGGCCATTTTTTCTTCATTGCAAGGAATAATATGAGTATTGACCATTCTGATTAAATTTATTCATCCACCGGTATTTCATCGCTTTATGCTGTTTCAATAGTTACGCAGGGTTTCCTGATTGGCTAACAGGCCGTTGAAGGCCGTCGGCATAGTATACATTCACCATTAAATGTATAAGGAAAGCCGTATTATGGAGGTGACTTTCAGATCCGTTGAGCAGACACTATCAGTAACAACTTACTGTGGGAGAGAACAAACCAGATTATAGCTGAGTAAGAAATTGAGAAAAATTGCTTATTGATGGCAACCAACATCGTCATAAGTTATGTCATAACTTGCAATCCTCCTCAAGGCTAAAGCAGAAGAGGAAGATCAAAGAATACAATGCATTGAAAATTAGGAGCTGACATGAGAAGAATGAATAGCAATTAGGTGGAACTGGGAAGGAAAGCCCAGGACAGAGCGGGTTGAAGAATGCTGGTTAGTGACCTATGCTCTACGACGGGTAATAGACGTAAGAAAAGAAGATTTAGACAGTTAGAAAAATAATATTAGCTCAAACTATTGTATCCTTAAACAAAGTAATACGCAAAGTATCTAAAATTTAACAAGAACAAGAGAACTACTTCCCCATGCTTGAATGTTTGACTCAATACTAACTGTGACCGAGTTCAGAAGAATTACATTAGCCGAGCGATGATCACCAATAAATAAGATTTAGTAGTAGTAGAAGTAGCCATGATACATGAATGAGCCAAATTCTATTGGTCAAGTAAGTAACAATGTGGTTAGCCACTATTAAGTATATCTCAGTCGTAAAAGACTTCAGTTACAACCAGATGAATTTTCAATGGTAATGTTCCTAATTTTGAAGCTGAGTGACATATTATAGGTTAGAATCTTCCATTGAGCAACCTTTTTTCCCATCAAGATTACAAATACATGTTACTGACATATGTCATCAAATGGCACAACATTCAAATCTATGATTTTTCATATCAATGATTCACCTTTAAAATCATCATTTTAAATTTATGGACTCATGAGTAAATTTCACTTTCTTATTTAATTAATTAGAAAAAGTCTATCAATAATAAATATTTTCTAAAATGTTTTTAATTTTACAATGATACTAGAGAGAAATCCAATATATCAAATGAAGAATTTGACATTTTACAAGATACATTCGAAGAATTATGCGCTCTGTTAAGTCGTATTACAGAACAAAATTATTTGGCTGAAAAAATGGTCAAAAATCTTATGGATAAAAAGAAACCTATCGCTACTACTTATGGTGATGATATAAGTAGTGACAAGAAGGATAAAGAAAAAAGTACAACTGAAAAAAACATAATTCATCACAATAAATCATTATTAGAAGATAAAACTGTTGTACACAATAATACTCATAATAATAAACAAGGAAAAAGAAATATTCACTGGAAAACAGTTGCTAAAACACGTGCTGTACAAACGGATGATCTTGAAACTTCAGTTACAGATGACGATGCTGCTGATGATGATGACGATGAAAACATAACTAGTAATAATAATAATCACGACAGAAAACCTACTACACATGTAAGTAGTGTTCTGTCTATTTTTTTTTTCAATGATTAACTGTATATATCATGCCACTCAAGGCCAAGGTGTGATTTATACGAGATATGCTTGTGTATTAGTGTGTGTGTGTGTGTGTTGATCGATGTGAAAAATATAACATTTGTAATGTGAAAGGATCAGGTCGCCTTTACATCAACACAGAACTGTGCCTACAAATTAGTATGGATTGATTGTCATGCCTTCTATGTTTATGTCATCTCGCGCATTCTTGACTTCAGCTAAAGAACATATGAGATACTCAGTAGATTCATCTAACAGTCTTGTAGAACTTGAAAGACTTCAAATTATACCGACAGTAACAATGCATACCACCTTCAATAACCATTAAATTATTACATATAAGCTTTTCCAACTACAGAGAAAGTCTATTGATTCAAGCTCTAAATTTGATGATAAATCTCACTTCCCTTTAAAAAAACAGAACACCTGCCGGTTTTCTTATACAATATCTCTTCTGTTCTTCGATATAGTTTAATCGTGCCATATACTTTGATTTCTAGACATTCGTCTCTGATAGTGACAAGATATACGGGAGGGTACCGACTCTACTCTTATATGCCGCCTATTGAGTAGCATCCATCATTGCAGTATCAAATTTATCAGTCATAATTTTAATCCTAAGAAAACATTTTATGGTAGAAGTATTTAAATGATCGTGTGCAGAAGAATATTTCGGTCGGTGTAGTTAAGTGATAATTACCTGAGTAAAGATAATTATCAGCAGCAAGAATCTGTTACGCATGCACGTAAACACGTCAACTTGATATGCTTGAACTATTACGAGTTTCTCTTCGTCGAAAACGAGAGCGAGGATCGATGATCGGGCGACACGACATGATACTCTAATCCGAGTGTCCCAAACCCTCATTGATATGAAGTTGAACCTGTATTCTACAAACATCCAAAAGTACGAGGTCCGAGTCCAGGTCATAAAACGTTACAGATAATGCGTATTTATACAATTAGGTTGAATAGGAAACAACGTTGAAGTCTATGACATTGACAGTTAGGACGACCATAATATTGACCAGTAGGAATTGACCAATAGAATTAGGCTTCTAAAAATAATTCTATTAGGATATTCGATGCATATCCTAACAGAATCCACGTTACATCCTTTCGTGTTTAGTACTTCCTGATAGAATTCAGTCACCACTTAAAGATTAAACAAATATGACAGTGATCACAAGTCATTGATCGATCAACCATAGAAAATCATCTCAGTCCCACGGAAGGAGGGGACTGTGGAAGTTAGATTTATAGAAGTAGTATTAGTTCCCGTCAAGATTGCATGTACTACCCCAATTTTAACTACTACCCTAACTAAAACTAAAATCTATAAAGTTCCTGATCAACTTTCTCAAACTATCTAATTTTGAAATTTGTAACTTAATAACATTTTCCTGTAGGTTGGTTGTAAGTAGATAAACTTGACAGGAATAATATAATTAATTCATTCCTCCTTGTAACCTCCTACTTACACTTACTTACATAAGTAACTTGAGGTAAGAGTGTGATTATTGATTTATCCTAATATAATACATTCAAGTTCAGAGTTGGTGCTCAAAAGAATTATTCTGTACTGAAGGACAACACAGATGGGGCAACCGAATTGTATTTAACGAAAATTACAGAGTTACTCAGTAAAATCGAAAAACCATATCGTAAATCGTTCATTTGTAAAATATCAGTCCATCATATCGAACTGGACTGTTCCTGTTGCAAAACATCAATCCATTGTCACTACTATTCATGCGTTTCATACAAATTCCATTGTGTTCTAACTCTTCCTTTCACTTGATCTTCCCCCATCTTCTGCTGCCAGACATTACGTTTACACTCACGTCATATACTACTTATAAGTAGCGCGCACCACAATTCTATTTGGCGTAGTAAGACTGTTTTTTTTTTGAAAATGATTTCTCAATGTAAAATTGACTTATGCAATCCACTTCTGTCTTTAATTATTCAACTAAAAATTAATATTTAGAAACATCAAACATTCAATCCGAAAATTGCATGGATCCCTTCTACATGTATTGACATTAATGCAACTGAAGATACGAGTGTCAAATCTACCATAACAAATTCATACAATACTAGTAGTAATAGTAATAATAATAATAAAGTATTTCGTTCAAACTCAAAAACTAAACAAGGACAAGATCAATTAACCAATGATAATAATAATATTAATAATAACACAATGATAAACAATCATAATGACATACATCTCAGCAATGATTCTAGCAGTGACCTTGACAATCATCACTATGTTCATTCAAACAAAAATAATACAGATGACGATGATGATCATCATCATCATGATTCAATTTATTCAACAGAAAAACTTATTGATAATATGGAAATTTACAAGAAAAGTTCACAAACTGATCAGTTATTTGCTGAATTGAAAGCAGCTACAATCATTGGTACACCACATTCAAGTAAAGATGATTATGATATGAAAAGTCAATTAGTACATGGTAAAGAAATAAGTTAGTTATCATATTGTAAAGAATATTTAATTGTTATTTTGTCCCCTAGTATAAACCTCTTCAGCTGTACTGTACATCGAATTTTTTTTGAATCATCTTCAATTTCACATCATTGAGATTCCCTCCATCCAACTGTGTATAGTTTAACTTAGATGTAAGATTGAATTTGCCTACAGATAAATTTCTTGAATAAATCCCGACAATTATCACAAACAGAGGCTTACTTACAACTTGCTTACCCCTAAATGGAGCATAGGCCAGCGACCACAAAATTATTTTTCCGGACTAGCGTTTTTTGGCGAGTTGGATTTCTACGGTATGGAGTCGCTGTTCCCATGCCCAACCCTCCTCATTTATCCGGGTTTGAGACTGACAGTGACCATAGAAGGGCTCCAGACGGAGTTATACAGGGTCTTAGCAAGGCTTAAATCAAAACAGATAACTATGACGTATTACCAGAAGTTTTAATTTGTTTGGAAAATGTTAACACAATTAATGCAAATGCAGAAAATAGTACAGTTGACTACACAGAGAACACGGATATATACACATGCACAGAACAGTAGCATCGACTTAACAAAATAACAAAGTTTATATATTTGTGAAATTTTTTATTAGTAGTTGAATGAAAAAGGTCAAACTAAAAGGCAATCTAGGATTAAATGAGTTTTAATTAGTGGGTATTAAACTCAAATATTAATGGTTAATTTAATTATTACGGGGTTGTGAAGATTGTTAAGTTACACATTTTTGAAACCATGAACCGATCAATGTTAGACCACCATTAGAAACCTGGAAGCACTGGACGGCCGTTTCGTCCTGGTATGGGACTCCTCAGCAGTGCGCATCCACGACTCCTGCAACTCCGTGAATTTGATCAGGTTAGACATTAACACCGTTAGATTCCGGCTCAGTGGTCTATAGGTTAGTGCGTTCGCGCACAATACCGAAGGTCCTGGGTTGGAATCCTTTTGGGTGCAGGAGTCGTGGATGCGCACTGCTGAGGAGTCCCATACCAGGACGAAACGGCCGTCCAGTGCTTCCAGGTTTCTAATCGTGGTCTAACATTGATCGGTTCATGGTTTCAAAAATGTGTAATTTAATTATATCGATAGAGATTAAAACTCGGTTAATTAGCTACCTTTACATATCTGGACAGCATCATCGACAATCAAGGTGGATCCGATACAGATTTGAGGGCGCGGATTGGCAAAGCAAGGGCTGCATTTCTACAGTTGAAAAATATCCGGAACTCCAAACAACTTTCAATCAAAACCAAAATCAGGATTTTCAATACAAATGTCAAGACAGTTATACTGTATGGAGCGGAAACATGGAGAACTACCAAAACCATCATCCAGAAGATACAAGTGTTTATTAACAGTTGTCTACGCAAAATACTTCGGAATCGTTGACCAGACACGATCAGCAACAACCTACTGTGAGAGAGGACAAACCAGATTCCAGTGGAGGAGGAAATCAGGAAGAAGCGGTGGAAGTGGATAGGACACACACTACGAAAAGCACCTAACTGCGTCACAAGACAAGCCCTCCCTTGGAACCCTCAAGGCAAAAGGAAAAGAGGAAGGCGAAAGAACACATTACACCGAGAAATAGAGAAAGATATGAGTGGAATGAACAAACATTGGACAGAACTGGAAAGCGAAGCCCAGGACAGAGTTGGTCGGAGAAAACTGGTGGGCGGCCTATGCTCCATTGGGGGTAACAGGCGTAAATAAGTAAGTAAGTGACTAGCTACATTGGGCGACCATCATTTTATATGCTTGATGACAAACTGCTTCACTAAGCATAAAAGAGCCATGCTGGTCATTTATTTTGACTAGAACTCCAAGACTGGCCTCTAAAAAGCTAGAGTCGCGTAATAGAACAAAACGTTAACCTATTTGTTGCTTCCTAGTTTTCCATGGTTATCATCTAACTAAAGTCAGGTGATGACGATTATTTTGTCCAATTTATTAGTTGATCATTTGATTACAGTACCTCAAGAAACATTTTATACAATTGTTTATTTGTTTCTGTATGATTTCTTTTAGATATTAAACAACTGAATGATTGTATTATAACAGGAAAGAAAAGTACTGAACTATATGACATTGATGAAATATCAATACTAAATAATTCCAATAATTCACCATGGTAAAGAATCACCTTTTTTTGGTTTTCAGTAGACTATCACGTGTAACTATGTTTAAGAAGTTAGTATTTTCTTGTTGCTGATATTCAAGACTACCGATGATTGGTCCCTACTGACATATACACATACTGAATGAATTGCTATGCTTACAGTGTTAATCTATGGAGCAGATTTTATCCTATAAAAGACTAATCTCGCTGATATATCTGCATTCCAGTAGTGTTAATTTTTTAGATACACAGTAGCCTCTGATGGCTTCATCAAATACAGACTCTTATGATCGAATAGTAGTAGTAGTAATCTACGAATATCCTCTACTCTTATTATTGGCCATGTTTTACAGCCATCTAGTGGGACAAAGTGAACTGCTGTGCAGTAGACTCTTCATTTCGTTAGCAAACGGGTATCTCGCCTACGCCATAACTGATGCAAGGTGGCGCAATCCAGACGAGCCTTCTGTATCTGTATGAATGAATTTACTTCACTTCAATCAACTGTGATTTGTTTCATCCAATTTCTTTGGATATAGTTTGTGACTTACTGTACAACTCATAACCAGCGAACTTCTTTCTAAACAGGTTCCAATTTAAACAGCGGAAAAATAAATGTTGGCCTAAGCGTACAATGAAACGTTTTGTTGAATATGTCCCCCGACTCGGTCTGTCCAGCCCCAGTTTCTTTTGAACCTTCTGCTAAGTTATTTACCATAGTATATTGGCATAGACAGTGGCTAGGTACACGTAGCCTAACCATTCATGAACCGACAAGTCTTTAGACATCACTTGAATTGCTGTTTTCACTCATTATCTTCTGTATAACCTCCATGTGTTCAGTTACTTGAAGATTGTTGTCATATCTAAGTGGTTATCAGTGTTTCATCGGTATCACCCTAATATTTACAGTTGAAAAGAGAAATCACTAAAATTCCGATTCAACGGTCGTAATAACGCTTCTTGGTTTCTAGTGGTAGTCTAGCCACGAAGATTTAAATAGCGAAAATAAACTTAAAAGTTATCAATCCGTGCCATTGAATTACCTTAAACAAAACATTCTCCTCTAAATTTACACTATACAATACATAACCCAATAAAGATAACACATGATCGAACATTGTTTCTGATCTTATCCCTTTTCATAGAAATTAATAGTCCATCTTGAATATCACTTAGCCAAAAGAATGATATTTTGTTTATTCTATCTTGATTATTTGTAAGTTTTAAAAATTGTACAAATCGTTATTTTGTATCTAATTGTTTTCCTACAATTATTTTTATTTCTATTGAAGTGTTTTCAATGATTCTAATCATCAAAACATCCACAATAAAGAGAATTTCAATACAATTGAAGATAATAATAAATGGATTGATCAACAACAAGTGAACAATACTACTAATCAAACAATAATCTCGTCAATAATTCATCGAACAAAATCTAATGAATTTCATCCATTGAACATTGAACAGAACAATGATCATTGTATGAGCACTATTTACGCTTGTGTCCAATAATAACATGTACGTTTGAACTTTGTATTGCAAAGGTTCCGCATGTAGTTAATGCATTTCTTGGTTAAAAAAAAAATCACTGAAGATGTGGGTGATACGTGTAAAAATCTTATCACATAAAGTGAGATGTGAAAATAGAAACGTATTGCCCGGTGATTTTTTATACATGGAACAATGAATACACATCTCCGGTGATTTTCAACGAAGTGCTTAAACGACATGGAACCTTTACAAATACGAATTTCATGAGTAAATGTTATAGACACAAATGTAATAAAGCTCAATTTTTTAGTTCTATCATTTTTGTTTGTCAATTATATCGAAATTGAAGTCTTTCAAAAAGTGCATCTTAAATTTTATTTTAGCGGTTTATTATATACTACTACAGAGTAGTATAATGCTAATTAGATAACTATAATTAGGTTACTAATCAACTGTACATTTTACAGTTGATACTGTTCTCAAAACTAGGACCTATTATGTTTTGTGACAGACTTTTGCGGGCGCTTTCTTTTTCCCTCGCAAAATGTCTTCATATGACCACACGCCTATGAGGCTAATGCCAGAATAGTTCTACTCTGGCCTACTCATGGTAGGGGCTTTGTTTTAGAAAATGAGGAAACGGTGAGTGGATTATCAGAGATTAAGCCAGATGGATGTATCTAAGAGTTTGATATTCCCTAGCTGCAGATCAATGTTGAACGTAAGTTTTAGGACCCTGAGGTTACAAATGATTTATGAACTTACACTATACTAAAGATCATTTATCCTGGGACATGGTTTGTTAACTTACACGAAATGAGCTACCCTCTAAAGCGAACAGAGACCGTCTTTACATAATCACTTCGCGGTATTTACCGATCTACATACATGTGCCAAATACACATTACAAAACATATAAGAGAGTACACACCCCATCTCCGTCCACTTTCCGAAGACGCCCTGACATTAGGTCTCCGCGACCCTAAACAGTGCAATAGCTTGACTCCTGATCAACAATTGTCATAGTCTTGACGTTTCTAAATCTGTCGATGTCATAAACGAACACAAAACCATGTCCTTACTGTTCGTTAATAGAACTATGATTTCCAAGAAAATCGAATTAAACTAATGAGTTAAGAAGGAAACAGCTATTACTCTTTTATTTTGTCATCAGTGTTGATTATTTATGTACTCTGAGATTTGATTCGGTTTTCTATACAATTACTCTATTACGAACTATTGAAATGATTCTGATACCAACATCACCAACTACGAACTCGAAAATTACGCATCTTACATACACGACTCAACAAATAATGGGACCTAACAAGAAGTCAATAGTTCATGGGAAATTTTGACACACAGTATGTTTGTAGTTAAATATTACTTACGTACATCAGTTAAGTTGACATGTATTATGCCTGCACATACATTTGACTTCGCTTATATTTAATTTGGTTAGGCCTTTCGATTAACTTACTTAACCAAGCCCTTTGCATAACAACAACTTACATGTCCCATTGGCTTTTATTATTGTTTGGTTTGCATGAGCTGGTACGACTGGACATTGCTTACCGCCTACGCACATATTCATCCCGGTCGCTTTAATATTACTCTTAAATATTTCGATGACTCATCCATTTTCCTTTCCTATGTGTATAGATATGTACATTTTAATCTTATTACTTCATTGGCCGATTCGCTCATTCATAAGCGTGCTTGCCTTTCGCTGTGTGCCTGTGGTCTGCTAGTCTATGGTGTGTCGAATAAACGTATTCAACACTTCGCATTCTCATTTATGAACCGAAAGGTGTTTTTTAGTAACCATTGTCTGGACGAGCAAATTACGAAGTCTAAAAACACGTTGGATACCGACTGTCACGAAAATAAAGATACATTGGCCACCATAGCCATACCACATTAGCACAGAGACGCAAATGTTAATTCAAATCCCATAGTAGTAGAAGTATGAGCAGCAAGCGGAAAAATTAGGGATCGAAAACATTATTCAAGAAGTATAATCAAGTGAAATAAGCTTAAAAAGAGAAATACAAAGGTGATGAATTCAGAGAATTAGAATTTGAGATAACACAAAGAATAGATGCACCTGCGCCATTGCAAACGGTTCTTATCCCTGTCACTCAAGGTCTCTAAGAGTCGGTTACTATCACCAGACAGTCCACACCTACCCACAGCGCTCAGTTCACTTGTCAGTGACTTCATGGATTTATGCCATGTTTTGGTCTCACCGCCCCTAGCTTTCTTCCAACCTACTCCTACACCACGAAACGTTGCTCGTCGAGGTAGTCGGTGGTTGGGCGTTCTTAACACATGTCCCAATCACCTGAAATGATGAAGTTTAAATACTTTATATATTGATTTGCCATCCCTTCCTAATACTCGTTTCCTAACGACAACATTGCTTATTGGGTTGTCCCATGATACACGAGCAATGTTTTGGAGACATTTGTAATCGAATACTAATAACATACCAATATCTCCTACACTGACTGGCCGGGTTTCACAGCCGTAAAGTAGGATGGAGCGAACTACTGCGCAACAGACTCGACCTTTGGTTAGCGAACGGATATCTCGCCTACGCCATAAATGACGAAAGTTGGCAAAATCCGATCGAGCCTTCAGTATTCGTGCTGAGATTTCGTTACACAACAGGCCATCAGCACTGATAGAGCTCCCGAGATAAGTGAAGCGGTCGACACTCTCAACTACTTCACTCCCTATAACCAGTTCAGGTGCCAATGCAAGCCGATCCCGAAGCATCCTGAGAATGTTTGCACTGTTGCTTAGACTATTCAGATCCACGTCGCCATTATCTGATCTTTGAGCCACGACATCATGCACGCAAACAGGTCAACTTCATATGCTTGGACTAGTACGAGTTTGCCTTGGTCGGAAAAGGAGAGCTAGGATCGAGGATCCGGTGACACGACATGCTACTCTAATCCAAGTCTCCCAATCCTCATTGAGTGAAACAAGAAGTCTTGATATGAATTAGAATCTGTATTCTACAAGCAACCAGAAAGTACGAGGTCCGAGTCCAGAAAAGAATCAGGATCCCGGACTAAGGATGCGGGTCCGTGTCATAAAACATTACAGATAATGCGCATTTATACATTAAGGTCGAATATGAAACAGCATCAAAGTCTGTGACATTGACAGTTAAGCCGACCAATAAAAAACAAAATTTGAGTGACATTAACAGTCAGGACAATCAATAAGAAACAACATGACACTGATATCTAGGACGACCATAAGACTGACCAGTAGGAATTAACCAATAGGAATTGACCAAAAATTCTCTTAGGATAAATATCCTAACACTTGCCTTTTCACCTTGTTTACCTACTGGAACATTGAAGTCACCAGCCATTACAACTATATCAAAGCACTGAACTCTTTGAAGGTTAAATGGGTTTCTGTAAAACTCATCTTCTGTCTCATCCGAGGTGCAGTCAGTGGGAGGGAACGCTGAGACAATGAATAATTAACGGCGAGTTTCCATATCTTTTCGAGATCTTACTACATCGATTAGTCGGACAGCGCACAAAAGAGTCTGCTAAGACCTAGTCTAAGAGAGCTGGTTAAGCCCTCGGATTCAATGCTATACCTAAGCCAGCGAGGCTATAGGAAGCAGAAGTGAGGCTCCCAGATACATGGGGCGTAAATCGAGACGGTTCTTTATCTGGACAAGGTGAAGTCAAAATAATGACTTACTCAGATCCCGCATGCGCGTTTCAGAGACGCGGCATATATCAATGGCACGGGATTCCAGAGTCCTAGCGGATGAACCCTGTTGCCCTATTTGACACAAGGTTTGAACATAAAAAGCTCCAAAATGTAGTTTAGAACGGGGTTTCAGGAGACCAGGAATAACGTCTCGTGAACTCGAAACGTTTGCGTCAGCGGGGCGAGGTGACAAAGGAACGGAAGAAGAGTCGATCGAGGAGATAAGAGAGTCATTAGAAGGTATGGGAAGGAGTTGATTCTGACCGATTTAGTCTCGTGTGCTCTTACAGGTATCAGGGCGTTTGTCACTTCCCGGCTGCCCACACTGTGGAAGGGTATTTCTTAAGGAACCTGAAAAGGAAGGTGGATTATTGTCGGTCTTAGAGACCTGGAAGTGTGACCGCGGAGTCCAAGGTACAACTGCTTCAGGCAGGTCACGCACGGTCTTCTGATGAGGTTTTTGGAATATTAGCGCCGTTCTTGATTAAAAGCCCTTACCACCGGAGACGGAAATCCGTGAGGTGAGGTGTGACATTTTTCTAATCCCTTCCTCCCTTGTGAGAAGGCAGCATCGTTGCAGATGCTGGTTGTCCGAGGGAAACAACTTACTGCTGTCACATCCTCCTACATTCGGTAGTACGACTTGGCCCTCCGACCTTGCGTCGTTGCTTTTAGTCTTACCGTTCTCCAATCGACCTTCCTAGCATGGTAGGACCTACAGGAACATATGTTCCTGCCAATATAGCTCGGTCGAGTGACCGTGATAGGCAAGCCTGACTACCACATCAAGGTACCAGCTACGGTCGAGACATCACACCATAAAATGAGAAAATACAACTCTACATGAGCACGCCAAAAGTGGGAAGATTGTGAACAATAATAAACTAGTTATATATATTGGGAATAATAAGCCATATGGAATGTATAAATATAAAACAATAATAATTTATAAATCAGTCCTAGAAGTTACCACTTCATTAATCCTTTCTTTCTTATGAATATATTATCAATTAAAAAGATTTTAACTTTAAAATGTGTTCTGGATATGAAAAGGATAAAACAATTTGTCAACAAATAGATAATAAACAAATTTCTTAGAAATAATTAATTAAAATTAGGGATGAAATATAAAACAATGAGTCAGTTAACATTGCAATGCATACATGCACACGTATTCAGATATTAAATAAATATTATTGTTAATTAATTATGATAACTAGTATTTAGGAAATATAATAATTGCGTATCATTTAAAAAAAATACACTGAAAATTAATTGTATACACCATAATTCTTGTCCACTTATAGTTGTTGCCCTGATGTAGAACCATCTTCTTGTTTGTAAATATTTGATAATCCCATTTTATTACGGTGAATATTGACAAATAACGGTTTAGGTGTACGAGCATCTTGTTGCAAAAGAGATGTTGATTTAGGAGTTGTTGTTGTTGTGGTTGATAGTCGTTTAGAAATACGCAGTGATGATGATGATGATGAACGGGATAAACGACGTGCTTGATTACATTTAGAATCATACGCTTTACGTCGAGCAAACGCACTGTCCGCTGGGATATTAATAGTAGCTTTACGCGATAATGAATTAGTAGCTAACACGCACACACAGAAAAACAAAACAATCAGAATAGGAAAGTGTGAAAAAAAGTTAGTGTGTAGTTGTTTTTCATAGATTGTTGTAACAATGAAATGCTAAGACTTTTTTCGTTTCATACAATACACTACTACTACTACCACTATTTGTATACAACCTATTCTCGAGATGATACTGTCAATGAACTGGACAGTTGTTGATCGACATACTATACACACAGACTAAGATAAGGATGTTGTTATCCGAGAGATATGATTTACAACAAAATATAAGGAGACCTGAAGTATGGAGCAAGCAAACAAGTTTGCGGAACACAAATCCTAACAGTGCATATACACTGTGATGTCTGTCTTTACTCAGTGTGTTAAGTATAAACATGACTTTTACTGGCTACAGACATCATCTAGAAAACTATCAAATAGGGCTGCAGTCAGTGGAAGAGTAGGCAGAGACAACGAAGAGGCAACAGTGAGTTTCCTTATCTTTACGAGTTTTCACTGTCCCGTTTAGTCAGACAACGAACAAGCGACTGTCTACTGGGATCCAGTCTTAAAGAGTTAGTTCTGCCTAGGACTTTATCTTTTGTATCACTGAATATAAGGATGTATGATTAAGGGAGAAAACTATAATTATTGACCTAAACTTTGTGCTCATATCAGTGAATTGTATTTTCATACGATAATACTGATCTAAAAGTTCAAACCCAAACAACAAACTTAACTCTTTAGTTATTATTGTTAGTTATCATAAGTATGTTACTACACCAATAAGTAAACCAGCGTACTTTAATTTTTGTAGGTATCGGGATAAGCAGTTAATGAAACATGATAAATTCATTCTCACTCAGTAGTCAACATCAACTGTAGAACATATAACACACTAGCGAAAATAGTACCTTGTGATATCCGATTTGAAATGACCGACTATTATCAAGAGATTCGAGTCACTATCATATAAATTAAAATCTTAATGAGATAATTATTCAATAGAATAATATGTAAATTATTTTTTGGTTAGCGTCTTTTAAGCGAGTTGGTTTTCTGAGGGGTGTGGTCACTAAAACCTTATGCCCAACCCTCCTCCCTTTAGTCAGGCTTCGGACAGGCAGTAACCCCAAAAGGGCTCCAGGCGGAGTTTTACTGTATGGAGAACCACGAAAGCCAACATCTACAAGATACAGGTGTTTATTGACGGTTGTTTGCACAAACTACTTCAGATCCGCTGGCCAGACACCATCAGCAACAACCTGCTATGAGAGATAACAAACCAAATCACAGCTGAGGAAAAAATTAAGAAGTCACGCTGCATTTAGATAAGACACACATTGAGGAAAGCACCAAACTGAGTCATAAGACGAGCCCTAGCTTGGAATCCTCAAGGTCAAAGGAAAAGAGGAAGATCAAAGGACAAATCACGCCGAGGATTGGAAGCAGACATGAAAAGGATGAACAGCAATAGGGTAGACATGGAAAAGAAAACCCAGGACACAGTAGGTTGGAGAATGCTAGTCGGCAGACTATGCTATACGAGGGGTGACGGGTGTAAGTAAGTAATATGTGAATGATACACTCGAAAAAAAATACAAATTTATGAAGGAAATACCTGATGAGTTATTTGATTGTTGTGGTTGATGATGATTATTTACATTTGTATTGATTTTCTGATTGTTAGATGATAAACTTGAAAGAAGAACTGGTTTATTACATCGTTTAAATGAGTTTGAATTTGAATTTCTTTTCAATGCTGTACGTTTATCATTTACTGGTGTTGTTGACTTTTTCTTTTGAAGATTAGACTTACGAGAAGATAGATTTGTAAAAGAGATTTTTGATTTATCATTCAATAAATTTGAAACTTTATTATGATTGTTAACAAAAGGTGGTGATGCAAATGGTGGTCGAGGATTATTGATTAAATGATGTCGTGATGCATAGGCCATTATTGATTCAGTTTTTGAAGTGGCTTTTGCATGTATCTTCTTAAAATCTGATGAGTATTAAGAGGAGGAGAGAAAAGAAATGAAAGATAGTAAGATATATACATGATTGATGATTGAATATACACAAATATTATGCTCTTTGTAAAAAATGGATGAGTGTGAAGAGTAGTGTGTTTTAACAGATTAGATCAGAGATGGATTTTATTTAGACACAGTTATTGAAAACAATGAAGCAGAACTGGAAAGCTATTTTCATTTTAGTACGGGACTACTTAGCAGTATGTAGATCAACCTCCATACGTTGGATCCTCAGTGAGGTTATTGTGGATGGGTACTACTGATGAGGGGTCCTATACTGGGACCAAGCAACTTTATGATGCTTCCTAATTCCTAGTTGTTGTCTGAATACAATGAATCCGTACAAGAATTTGTGAAAGTTATTCCGATTGTTCATACGATAAACTGTCAAAATATTAAATAGCGGAGTTCAACACAGTTGGACTAGACGTCCAACTAGAGCTCGTGAACACCAGAGTCGGGAAAACCAGGCCCGTTGCAGATTTGGACGTGGATGTATAAACCGTACATTCACTCTTCGTTAGGTCCTGGAACATAGACACATTTCAGGGTCCCACAACAGTTGTATTGCTTAACCTTACGGCGGCATTTGATCGTGAAGTTCTATGTCAAAGAAAGGTGTACCAAAGAACATTAACCCGGTATAAGCTATCTACTCGAACACTACTAGTCGAGTCAGCACTTATGACTAATTTTCATTGGAACTGATTACCTCGAGTGGTGTTCGTTAGGACTGTCCATTATATCCATTCTTATTCAACTTTGTTATTGACATGCTTTTAGAGATGACAGTGTCAACGTCTAATTTCCCGGTAGTTGACTTTCTACCAGGAGACTCGCTTGTTGACTTTGAATATGCCGATGACATAGTTCTTCTTGGTGAAGACGCTGACAAAATGCACAGTCTTCTGACCACTTTAAGCAATAATGCAAGTATGTTCGAGATGCAGTTATCACACTCCCCCGAAGTTAAAAATGTTGCTCCAGGTGCATCGGCACTTGAACTAGAGATAGGGAGTGAAGCAACTGAGTGTGTTGACCGCTTCACTTAACTTGGGAGTCTCATCAGTGCCGATGGCCTCGTGTGTGACAAAATCTCAGCACAGATAATACCGAGCGCTTGTTTGGCTTTTGCCAACTCGTCACTGATGGCGTAGGCGAGATATTCGTCAGCTTACCAAAGGACGAGTGTACTACATAACAGCGTTGCTCACTCGGGTGTCCCACGATATACGAGCAATGCTTCGATCATAGGTGTCTTCGAAGCACTGCTCGTATATCGTGGGACAACCAAGTAAGCAATGCTGTCGTTAGGAAACGAGTACTAGGTAAGGATGGCAGATCAATAGACGAAGTGCTGAAACTTCATCAGTTGAGGTAGTTGGGACATGTGTTACGTATGGCTAACCACCGACTGCCTCGACGAGCTATGTTTTGTGGTGTAGGAGTAGGTTGGAAGAAAGTTAGGGGCGGCCAAACCAAAACATGGCAGAAATCCATGAAGTCATTGACGAGTGGACTTAGCCATGTCAGTAATTGTCGACTACCTGGTTGGGGTCCGCGAGATGATAATAATCGATGGTTAGAGACCTTGAATGACATGGCTCAAAATCGTTCGCAATGGCGCTGGTGTATTTATGCTTTGAGTTCTCTCAAATCCTAATCTTCTGGATTCTTCAACACCTCTAGTTTTGACTTTCTAAACTTTTCTCATTAAATCATACTTCTTGAATAATATCTTCTAATTCTAACCTTTCCGATTACTTCTAATACCTTTACCACCTCTTCTACTATTGGATTTGAATTGACAATTACTTCTCTGTGCTGATGTGGTACGGCAACATGAACTGATGTACTTGCGTACGAAGTTCTACGTTGCATCTGACTGACTGACTACATAGCAGTTCACTCCGTCCTACTTTATGGCTGTGTTCTCTCAAATCCTAATCTTCTTACGTAAGTACATCAGTTCAGTTTGACATACCACATTAGCACATAGACGCAATTGTCTATTCAAATCCCATAGTGGTAGAGGTAGTAAAAGTATTTCTGGTAATGGAGAAGACTATGATTTGAAGATATTATTCAAGAAGTATAATTCAGTGAGATATGTTTAGAAAGACAAAGGTAGATGTGCTGATGAATCCAGAAGTTCTACGTTGTAACTGACTGACTGATCTTGGCCAGTAAGAGTAGAAGATATTCGTATGTTATTAGTATTCGGTTACAAATGTCTCCAAAGCATTGCTCGTGTATCATGGGACAAACCAGTAAGCAATGTTGTCTTTAGGGAACGAGTACTGTCAAGGGATGGTAAATCAACAGATAAAGTGTTGAAACTTCATCAGTTGAGGTAATTGGGACATGTGTTACGTATGCCCAACCACCGACTGCCTCGGCGAGCAATGTTTCGTGACGTAGAAGTAGGTTGGAAGAAAGCTAGGGGCGGCGAAACCAAAACATGGCATAAATCCATGAAGTCACTGACAAGTGAACTGAGCGTTGTGGGTAGGTGTGGACTGTCTGGTGATAGTAACCGACTCTTAGAGACCTTGAGTGACAGGGATAAGAACCGTTTGCAATGGCGCAGGTGCATCTATTCTTTGTGTTATCTCAAATTCTAATTCTCTGAATTCATCACATTTGTATTTCTCTTTTCACTTGATTATACTTCTTGAATAATATCTTCGATCCCTAATCTTTTTGATTACCGCTAATATTTCTACTACCTCTACTATTATGGGATTTTAATTGATAATTCTATTTGGGCGCCAATGTGGTATGGCAACTCATGTACGTACGTACAAAGTTCTACGTTGTAGCTGGCTGGATAACTGGTCGTGGAGATAAGAGTTATGAATAGGTGTGTGAAAGATCTGATTACGACATATTCGGTTTCGTGTACTGTTACAGGTATAAGGGTGGATATCACACACCACGGAAGGATCAGGAGCTTGATATGATGTGGAAAACTTTGAGCGAGCACCTAGTTTAATCAAATTTTAAGAATTCTGTCCTTAAAATGAATTTGTAATCGTTCTTCCCTGATACTATCCAAACAAACACACGAGTTTATGCAGTTGTAAGCCCCTGAAATAGTTGTAGTAATCCGTCACTAGTAACACATATACCAAGTAGAGATTTGTATCATCGACACTGAACCATAGCGCTTTCGTGAAAAGTAACGTTAATACTACTTGATGAGCTAAATCGAACACTAAAGTGAATTTTGAACCCTGAGTTTAATGACTGGAAGCCAAACACTTGAAGCTAGCAAAAAACATCAGAATCATAACTGTTAAAAAGCTATCGTTAAAAATCATTTTGTACATACGACAATAATAAAAAAACTGGATGTAAGGAAGATAAATTGCAAATTCGAATTACCTGGGACCGTTTTGACATTCAATGGTCTTTTAGTAGTGATCGATTTTTTGGATTCTGTGAAATTTTTTTTAGAAAAACAACGAGCATTAAAAACTGAAAGCTAAACAATGAAAAGTTATTCTGCAAAAGTTAGTAATTTCGTTGAATTATGTTTGACTCGATTGGAATTTACAAAAAAATAGGTTTTTATCAAACCATACGGAATAGTAAACTGTTGCTTCATGAAACTATGTCGTCAATATTAGATGCTCCTTGAGTAAGTAAATATTATTAGGGTTAACAAAAGTCGAGCATGAAGCTTCTCTTAAGTTTAACAAAATACAATATTGGTTTCCCACTTTATAATAACAAAGTAAGCTTGATATAATGAGACATCAAAAAATAGATTAGCTAACACATATTTTTATCGATAAATAAAGACCAAAATATGAACACATTCAACATGAATTCTATGTGTAACTGTTCGCAGAGAACACAAAAATCTACAGCACGACTGTCATCAACTTAACATAGGAGGCCACTGATTGAGTGATTTATGGAACCCTATTCAGAGAAGCATATAGTTATGTAAATCGATTACCCTCTTTTCAGTGATCAAGTTTTTTTGTCTGAATGACCTAATTGCGTTCTATCAGCTGGAGCACGTGCTTGAAGCTTGATCATGTGGGACAAATTGATCAAAGAGGTACAACCAGAACTAGTGAATGTAACGCTCGAGAGTTGAGAAGACGTACCACTAACTACACTGAGTTATGGGGATAAGGAAGAAATCTACAGAAATATAAACATAATCCCCATCAAAGAGACTCAAGTCAATATAAGCTACTCAGAACTTTAACACAAGACTAACCTAGGACAATTATATAGACACGAAGACTTGACCATTTCTAATAACTTTAAAGGTTATTGTAAAAGGTTTCTGTCAATTCTGTAGACACTACACTGAACTTCAGTGATGTAAAACAACATACCATACTAATGAACTGTACTCGTCAAATAAGTGCAGTATAGGTAACCTCAGTCAGAGTCAGTCAGTCAGATGCAACGTAGAACTTCGTACGTAAGTACATCAGTTCATGTCGCCATACCACATCAACACAGAGATATAATTGTCAATTCAAATCCAATTGTAGTAGAGGTAGTAAAGGTATTAGAAGTAATCGGAGAGGTTAGGATTAGAACATATTATTCATGAAGTATGATTAAATGAGATAAGTTTAGAAAGTAAAAACTAGAGGTGTTGAAGAATCCAGAAGATTAGGATTTGAGAGAACACAAAGAATAAATGCACTGGCGCCATTGCGAACGATTTTGAGCCATGTCATTCAAGGTCTCTAGCCATCGATTATTATCATCTCGCGGACCCCAACCAGGTAGTCGACAATTACCGACATGGCTAAGTCCACTAGTCAATGACTTGATGGATTTCTGCCATGTTTTGGTCTGGCTGCCCCTAGCTTTCTTCCAACCTATTCCTACACTACAAAACAAAGCTCGACGAGGGAGTCGCTGGTTAGGCATACGCAACACGTGTGCCTAACCAGTAACCTATAGATCACCACCAAGTAAAATGATTTCTTCATGTTTAAAATTTGGAAACTCTAATTCAAAAATCTACACCAATACACGCTACTTTCAGAACATGAACAGCAAAGATAAAGAGAGGTGGTATTTGACAACTATACATTATTTAATCCTAATTAAAAATAGTAGAAGGGTGAAACTATAGTTTATAGACAATCATTGAGTAATAAATACTAAGTGACTGAGAAAATTCAACTACTTGATAGGGTCAAAAGAGGATTATGATTAGTGAGGAAATGGGATTCGGTGTTAAAATCAAATAATTGCCATTCTAAATCCCATTGGTCCATCCACAAATCACGGTCTCATCGAAATAAGACACCAGATAACGTTAGTGAACTGTTCTAGCACACCTCTACTAAACAGAGAACTTCAAGCTAACGTCTTGTCTAGAGTACAAAAGATAACTTAAAGTTTAGAAAACACGAAGATTAGTGGTTTGTTAAAAGTTTGATAGCGTATATTATTCCTAACTTGACTTTTGGCTAGTTACTCTAAATCTTTTTCTTTATTTTTTTCAGTGTTGTTTTGATAACTTAAACTAAAGGAGTGGTTGCGCATATGCTGAACTTAGCATATAATACATATAGTACATTTGATCAAAATGATAGGTAGATTACTGTTTAGGTACTTCAGTGTCAATCATTATATGGAATATTTGAATGTCACTACTTCTAGTATGAGAAGCTGATTACATCTTTGAAATTGACAGTATGTTATCTGAAGCTAAATAAGCAAACAGTCGTAAGATTTAATATTAATTGAAAAATATTTTAACCAATTCAAATAATAATCGGTTAACTTAGTATTTGAATGAATAATGTTCACCCGTGCATCTGCGCTCCGGTGAGTTAAAACTTATTTCATTCACTTGGGTACGTGGCATAGGAGGCAAACCGACGATAATAACAACGATACAGAACATTCTCAACTATTGACAGTTATACTATAAATATTACTCGTACATAAATTATCAGCGTCCCACTCATCAGATGAACAAATGGTCAGGAATTATGTGTGCCCAGTGAATATTAGTCACTAATTATTTGTTTAAAAATTAACCCAACTCATTACGTTGGTTACCATGAATAAAAATGTGAAGACTTATCACTTGATGTACACTTGACGTTAAAATGTCATGTGAAATATTGATCTGACTAACGACTATAACTGAGATTGTATATGGAGTAGTGTTATGCTTACATGTCTACAGAAAAAAAAATCAGTTTCACAGGCAGAATTCATTTGCATGCGAGTGGTTTGAGTGGGGAAAATAACCCAATACTTGTACATTACCCAAAAGATTAGATATTTTTAGATAAAAGATTTGTGATATATTAGCTGACTGTCCCATTACCTGGATACTGTTTGACTGGGTTCTGAACAGTGTCGTCCTTACAACACATCACAGGAGAAGACAGCTGAAGAGATTAAATAAAACATATCAGATGAACTGACCTCATATGTCCGGTTTAAAACGCAAGATTCTTCGCTGTTGCTTATCGGTGTAGATGTTATACCATTATTTTCTTTATTTTCTTGGTCGTCAGTAGGAAGATCTGATTTAACCGGACTTCTGAAAGATGACTTGCTATTCTGTACCAAAAAAATACGGTCAGAAATATAGCATGTATACCTCAACGAACTCTGTAGATACAGTTTCAGAATCTGATTTGCATGTACCTTCAAATTCCTATCTGTCTAGAAGCAATGATGCACTATACAAACCTGAACACAAAGCCGACTTTTTAATTCCTTCTTCAATTCGGAAGCCTATAGTGATAATAAAGTAAAGTATTGAACTGAACCTTTTTATTAGCCTTAATGCCATGTATTTTAGCAAGCCTCTGGAGTTCTGTATAACGCAAGCTATCAATATCTGCCTTCATTCCACCAAACTCAACAATTACAGAATACGCGCCTTTTACAATGTGCACTATTGTTACAGAGTTAAAATCACTATGTATGACGTTGTTAGACTATTCTGTTTTCATTCTATTCCAGGGCGACCAAAGATAAACGCTTTGGGGGCAGAATGGCAAGCCTTACGTGCATTGAACTTACAAGATGACTGAAGATTATTTTGTAAACAAGCCATAGCTTCCGTACTTAGCCCGCGATTTTTAGTTTTTCAGATAAAAGTCCCGTGGATATCACTCAGTGTTCTCTCTTGGTGTGAAGTGCTTAGTTAACTTTGTTTGTTATGGTTTTAGATCTTCTCTGCCCTTCAGTGACTGCTGACTACATGTGTTACACTGTTGTACATGTTATCAGTGATTATTGGTAATTAGGGTAGACCTAAAAACCACAGCATGCAAACGCTAATCTGGCACTTCACATAAGGGAGAATACAGAGTCTCATTCATCATCCTGCAGGTTCAGTTTATGCAGAACTACCCACGTAGGGGGCTGGGTTCACTAGGCTTGGGAGAACAACCCAAATAACTGCAAATCCTAAGGAAGAAAAGAGGGAGAGAAGCTTGGTTTTCTCTCTTCAGTGTTCATTTACCTCAGGGTTATATCGAAGTGTGCGGTGATGTTGTTGTAGGATGCATGAGATGGGCCGATTTAATATACCTAAAACGTTGTATACCATAATGTGATTACCTCTGACTTCACCATAACTCGTCCAGTATAATATCAACTGTCGAAGGAAATGCCATTTCTGAATCCGTGCAGGATCGCCTAGAGGACGTTACTCTTATGCATGTACTCACCCGTCAGTTAGTACGTCAGCTCTTCCATTACCTTCGGCAGTAATAGTTGTAATGCGACTGGTCACTAACAGAATGGGTCCTTCTTTTCCACACTTTTGAGGTTCGGATAGAGAGTAGCTTGTTTCCATTCATCTGGAAGTTGGCGTGACTCCATTAACTGCCTGAACGAGTCATGCACAGGTGAACTGAGAGTTCCTGTACACTGTTTGAAGACTACTGGATGAATATTTTCACACCGTAGTGACTTTCCTGGAGATTCTTATTACTGAGCCCAGAGTAGATCACATATTTCCAAGTTATCGGCTGGCACAAAAGTTGAGTAGTTTTTTGATCTTTAGTGCATCTGATTTAACTGGTCAGTGAAGATGGCATTAAAAATCTCAGTCGTCTCTAACTTTGTGGGATCTTCATCTAAGGAGCACAAACACCTTGTTTTGCAGGTTTACTGCAGTCACGAGTCCGTTGAGATATTTAGCGTTTGTCTTCATTTTCGCTGCAAGTACTCCTCTCGAAACATCTACTACCGCTTCAAGATTTGATGAAGTAACAACTCCTCAATGTTAAGCAACAACCACGATCACAGTCTTTAAGGAAACCACCCATTTGTAACAGATTTTAATCTACTATCAGCCTCCATTACTCTCGTTGCCATCAGGTGAGAAAAAGCACCGACACAGTCGAGTAGCTTGCCATGATATATCAAAGGTATTAAGCATTCCAATCCCTCCTGAGTTTTTCGTTTGTGACCATGTTAAACATAAATTCTCCATGGTCACAACTACCTAGTGGTGTGTGGACACGGACATCCTCGACCAGCAGCTGTTCTCTTGTTAACAAATAATCCAAGTTTGAAGACTTTCATCTACTGGCTCTGAATATATATTCAGTCAGTTCGGAACTTTTACTGGCCTATGGGAGTAGTACAATGATTGATAAAATTTGGGGCTGAGTATTGAAATCTTCTGCTGGTGGTGTTTGGTCAGACCCAATGTGTAGTAGTCAAAATATAGTCTCAACTGACTTATCTTTTCGGGCGTTAGTACATGAAAAGGACTGGCAAGTCTCTTAGTGCCATTTATATTGAAGCAACACCAACATGATTCTGCCACAACGGTTAGTTTTTGGGTACGGTGTGGTGTTACTGCTTTGAAATAGTTGCGCGCGCGCTTCGAATTTGACGTGTCGTCGCTGACTCTATTCCATTTAAGGGAAACAATCCACTTTCGGGATACTTTATCACCTCCGAAGCTATAATAAGTTGTCTCCATTCATTTGTTGACAATCTGAAAACATTTTCGGAACCATTCCAAGTAAGAACCGTTGCGCGTTGCTTCGGCAGCATACATACATCCACTCACTCACAAATACAGGACTTGTGAACAAGTTACTGGATACACGCAAAATTACTTACTGAAACGGTCAAAGATAAAGTTGCAACTTTGGAGTACTTTCAGGCTCTATTCCTTGTAGTTTTATCATATACTACTAAATTTCTTCTTTCCTAAATCCCTTTTTTGTGTATCTCGGTATTCACCTCCTAATCTCCCTGGTATCATGTCAAGTAAAAAGGTCGCTAGTACACTTTTCACTGTAACAACTAGGAAAACTTATAGAGGCATAAACCCCGGGATCGATAGTGCATCGAAATCCCCAATATCGTGCGAACGGGTTGCTAAAAACCCAAACGGTCAGTCGATAATACGCCTCTCAGTGTTCATACTTTAGATCACTCAACGCAGACACCACAGAGGAAGCAAGACACAACTGTAGAATCCTTTTTGAATGTTTTGTGTTTTGGAAAATCCCTCCATGTTTACATATTTTTGCTATGACATGACGGACTTTTTCTGTTGACATTTTTGGTACTTTATTTGATTCCGATTTGAGATTTTATCATTGTATATTGTTATTCTTTCTATATTTTGTACTTATATTGAAGTTTTTGTGTTTGCTTCTTAACTGTACATATGTTGTTTAAATTTGATATAATATGGCTACCTCCACATTTTGGATTCGAGATCGTGCAGTATAGGAGTTCACCTGGACCTCAGAACATTGATACTCGTTCAGAGTAATTTTGAATTGGAAGGCGTAAATTTCGTTAGGTATTGCTTGTATTTCCATTTATTATTTATTAATAGACCATTTTCCCCTAGAATTATTGTGTTTTTATATTAAAATCGGGAAATGCGTCCGGCATACGTCTATTGGAATCGAATTGAACTGACACGATAGAAAATCCAATTACAGTCTGACGAAATTTGGAAACCAGTCCATTTACTGTCTGGAATCATTCCTAAGAACATTTATATTCTGGAATTATCTATTACCTTTGATTAGAAGACCAATTACAGTTGGATTATTAAGAATTATAAAGAAACATTTGGAAATTTAATCGTTTATCACACTAAACTTTCTTGAAAGAAGAATTTTGGATTATTTATCGTATCTTCGTATTCGATTTGTATCTTGGATGAAGAATTTTTGATTTTGGACATATCTTATCGAACTTATCTGTGGAATTACTATATTTTGTATTTGTTATTTATCTTCCTTGAACTTCACTTATAATGTCAAGTCGCAAGAAATCAAACACGAGGAGGGTGGAAGAGCTCGACGGATCCCGGAACGCTAAGCAAGTCGTTAATGATGAATTTTTTATGGGTAACCCATATGTTAGCACTGATAATAATAATAATAATAATAATTTATTCTCAAATAACTAAGTTACAAGAGACACGCCAGTTTACAGGCTAGATCAAATTGTCACAAATGCTTTTACAATTACTGTAAAAGTTATAGCAGTTAAATTAAGTATAAGAGACAGTTTCTGATTGCATATTTACACCATATCACTGACAGAAACAGTATTATACAGCCACATTTTCAATATTAGAGTACAAATGAGGAAGGTGCACAATAGGTTCTATTGGCGATTGGCCGAGATCAATAGTGAATTTGTTGGGAAAGGTCATATGGAACGCGCTTGATACGAGCTGTGATCCAGACAGTCATGTACATTGGGTGCATGTTCCCTAGAGTTGCCAAGGATTTCCCACCGTGAATGGGGTTCTGAAAAGGAGAAGAGAGAGAGGAAAAGGCAGCAGTGTGGCAAGTGTATATATATAACCAAAGCACTACTTAACCTGTCATGTTAAAGTAGTCAATACAGTAGTAAGTCAAGATAACATTCATACTGACCACTTAAATTAAAGTAAATTATGGGAATATAAGAATATAACACACAGATAAAGGAGTACAGCAAAAAGAAGGGAGAGTTGTGCAGTGTCAGGTGGATAGAAGAGAAGTCGAAGTAAGAAGCTGGATTTATGTACGTTGATGTTATGTCTGATACTTATTATTGTAAGTCACCTTTGGCAGGCATTAAGGAACCAGGATTAAGTGAGAGTTCTAAGGTACCAGAGACGGATCAGATGCTTAAGACACCAATAGTAGGTTTAGAACTACCTAAGGTCGAACTTTCATTTTTTGATGGAAAGTCTCGCGACTACTTTAGGTTTATGCGCCAAATAGAAACGTTTATAGAACCAAGAGTAAAAGAAGACCAAGTGCGTTTATTGTATTTAATTCATTATTGTAAAGGAAGGGCAAAAAATGCGATTGAAGGTTGTATTATAATGGATCCACAAGCGGGATATAAGAGAGCTAAGGCCATCTTAAAACAGCTCTTTAAACAGTCGCATGTAATAGCCCGGGAAACCTTTGTAGAATCCTTTTTGAATGTTTTGTTTTTTGGAAAATCCCTCCATGTTTACATATTTTTGCTATGACATGACGGACTTTTTCTGTTGACATTTTGATATTTTATTTGATTCCAATTTGAGGCTTTATCATTGTATATTGTTATTCTTTCTATATTTTGTACTTATATTGAAGTTTTTGTGTTTGCTTCTTAACTGTACATATGTTGTTTAAATTTGATATAATATGGCTAC